TCCTTTAGCCATCCCCCTATACTAAACAGCCCAATTTTATTTATGGACTTACATGAAACTAAAATTGAAAAGCAAACTTAAAAACACACACTACCAGGGGATACACACATAAATGATGTTACTTGTAAATAAAAACAACTTCGGCAAGAGGAGAAATGGAGTAAGCAGTAGGTGTATAAAGAAATTCCTGCTGGTTTTTTTTTTTTTTGATAAAATGCAATTGTATTTAAAACATACTTGTTACAAAGTTTTGTTAATAATCGAAATATGCACCTTCACCATTTGCCATTTACCGGGTAACGTATCGATATATAGCACGGAAATTATCAATATTTGAATTTTTTCTGCCTTTAATTCCAAACAATCAAAAGTTTGATTTACAAAGATCGATACGGATGGGTTAGTATTTAACCAGTTAACTGTTTCGATCTCTTTCGGAAATGCGCATCTAAATTATATCGCAAAAATGTAGCTATGAAGAGTATATTCGTCGAACATCACGACGATTACACGATTATTTGATTTAACACAAGTTGAAAAGAAAAAATGATTCTCTTTTTGCACGAGGTTTTTTTGTTTTAACACGATTTTCAATATTCTATGAATTTTTTCATTCTCACTCTACGCATTGCCACTTTGCCTCATATTTATCATAATTCAGTTGAATTATGTCGATTATATGCGCATATGCAGGAATGGTATTCTCCAAATTATGCCTAGAGTGAAGAGGCATTGATTTTTACGCAATTTAATTTATTTTTTATAATACATGTAATAAATTAATAGGTGGAAGCGTGGAGTGAAGGGAATGCTAACAAGAATTCTTTAATATAATAATTTTTTACTGCACTTTTCTTGCATTTTTAGCCAATACTTTTTTTACACGGATTTTTCGGGAACGTATTTATCGTATAAAAAGACAATTCAATTCATATATAATATGAAGTGACATTGTAATGAAATGATTATAATGTTTTCATTTCACTATTCACATTTATTTAGTTACCTCAATTAAGATAAATGCTTGGCGTATGAAAAATTAATTCATTACTTCATTATTTGCTGTTAGAAAATGGCGTTGAGCAAAACACGGTACAACTCATAATTGAACTTGACAAGCTGAACACCAATATCGCGATTCTTTCGCGAATACTATTTTGTAAACAATGTGTAGGATTAAATTTTGAAGTTGAGGGGACCACCATAAATCATATTATTTGTCGTTGTGTATAATTTTATTTATAAGCTTTTATCTCGACTTGTCGTCAAAATCAGAAGATTCAGACATTTTGAAGTTTACGAACATATTTGAGTTTTCATGAAAATCGCAATTTAAAGTGCAACATGAATAGAGATGTCAAAAGCAGTTGATTGGTTTAGTTATCTCATGTCAATTATGAAAATTGTTAGACGTGTCAAATTTAGGAAAGCGGAACGAAAAGAATAACCACGTCAATGTATTTATTATGTTCATCTATCGTGGCTGGTATTCGTCGAATCGAACATTATTTTCTGTCAAATTAAATACCACTTAAATTATTAATTTTTAATAAATTTTTATTATTATTATTATTACTTTACTTCAATAACATTTTCTTGGTAGGTATATTTGTTTGTTTAGATATTTTTCCCTCTTTCGACTCTATTTAGATGCATTCTTCGTATGTTTTGTTCGTGTTCGTGTTCGTGTTCGTATTTATAGGGGGAGTAGTGTAAGTGAGAGACACGGGGGGATGTAGAGTGAAAGAACAAGAGCTTAGTAATTAATTGTATACCGCATACCGTTTCGTATTTATTATTATAAATATATGAATAATTATATATTTATGCATATAGATAGAAGGTGAGCGCGTGAGTGATGAATTTGTGATAATACATCAACATAATTATGTAACAAGAATATTGTGTAGTACAAGTAGTCATACAGACAGAAAACATATAGTTTTCCAATTTTTTCTTTTCTTCTTTTCCTCTTTTTTTTTTTTTTTTTCTAACTATATAACATTGTGTATAAATATATATATATATATATATATATATATATATATATGTATGTATGTATTTATATATATATTTAATATATATTTATATATATATTTATGTATATATATATATATGTATATATGTTTGTTGTATGAATATCATGATAGTCATCAATGCAACATAAAATGACTAATATTTTTCAAAATTTTACTAAAAATATTAATATTTTTTTTAACTAATTGTAAATTGTTCAATTTCTTTAATCTTTGGGCCTATTTTCAAAATAATCTAAATATTTCAACTTTTCCTTATATATATACATATATAAATATATATGTAAATATATATATTTTTCTTTGGAAATACTTTTATTACATCCTGAAGCTGTAGTGTTCCACTATACTATAATTAGTTAACTAATTATATGAAAGGCAGCAAAAGAAATTTTTATTAACAATTTCTTTCAACTTTTTCCTGACTACTGCCGCTTCCTGGGATTACATTTATTAGCCAAGTGCCAGAATATTGTTGATTTTTCACCATTGCTCTTTAACATTAAAGTTCAGCTTACTTTATTTATTTATTTTTTTTCTTTATATATTTCCACATTTTCTCCTTTTTTTTGTTTTCTTCTACTTGTTAAAGTTTCTTCTTTTATTCTGTCGTTTTTTACATATAACTACAGTAAACAAGTTTTTGTTTTTTTACATTTATAGTAAGTTGTTTTATTTTTATTATAAACACCGTTCAAAAAGAAAGCAAACCAACAAAACTATTTCTGAACTAAAGCAAAATAAACTTAAAAACAAATGTATAAAATTTATATTTAATACCCATTGTAAATTTAAATAAATTATAGAAATTGTAGCTATCTCTTCGAAGAAAATGAAAGAAAACAATCGTTAATTTTTTACTTCGTTATAATTGTATTGCTGCAAAAGCGAGCCGAAATTAGTATTGAAAAATCGGAATTTTAAAAAACCCTATGTGAAAAGTAGGTAAACCAGAATTGAGAAAAACAACCTCCAAAAAAGCTAATAAGTAAAAAGAGAGTAGCCAGCCTTGGAAGCCTTGGGGGCAACTCTTTACGTCCGTCAGTGTTAAAGATTTTGTTTTTTTCTTGGTAATTGACAGCAAGTTCCCGTACTGATTAGTTCCCGATTTGTTGAATCTTTTTTTTTTTTTTTTTTGCTTTCTTCAGTTTATGTTTGGGTTTTAATCGCTTTTCTGTTTCAATTCAAATTACTCTTAAAATTTCAACAACTGCCAATGGACAGTCCAACGAGCGGACAAACATGACAACAAACAACATCGATAACAAAAAGAATATATTTCTAGTCTCTGATGGGGTGGGTGATGTGGGTACGCGGGAGAGTCAGTGTTATAAGTGGGGTAAAGCAGCAAATAACAAATGTGCATAAAATCTAGCATAGATCTGTGATATGTTCGGATTCTCCGAATGTAGTCACCGTGCGAAATGCGTGTATGCAAAATATGGAAATCAAACAAAAATTAAAAAAACAACACACATTTAATTTTTAAGTGGTTTAATACTTTTGTAGCTAACTCCATTACTTTTTTGTGGTGAATAATTAATTATAGTTTTATTAAATATTCTCTAATAGTAAACTATTTGCAAATAAATTTTAAGTTGTATATATATATACATATGTATATATATATATATATAGAACGTATTCAATTTTCACTTTTTATTCGTTTTTTTATATTTTTTTTCTTTTAATAAAAGGTCAACGATTAACTGCGTTCTTCTGGTAAGCACTACAAGAATAAAAACTTGAACTTGTATTAATCAATAAATTTAATTATATAGCTTTTTTTTTTATAAGCATAATAAAAAGATAACTACACAAAATATGTAAATATGGTTGAGAATTATGAAAAATAATTTTTCTTTCTCTCGCCTTCTCTATGTGTATATTATGATTAAAATCCTTTCATATTTTCCTCTTACATAAAAAAGTGATATATTGCTCGTACAGTTAAATTTGCTTTAAAAGTAAAAAAAAAAAAAAAAAAAAAATAAGAAATTAAAATAGTAATTAATGGGAAATGGGGAAAAGAGAAAGAAAAATACTATTAACCAATACACGGCACCCGCAATATACTCTATGAAAAGTTGAGAATTTTAAGCAACTGAATGTATGCTAAGAAAAATTGAATTTAACTTTGTTTAAAACGATTTTATGAACAAAAGAGACTTAAATGGAAAATTTATTCAAAGGACAAAAGAAAACCAAAGAACATAAAATAAAATAAAGCAAAGCTGCCAATTTATTAATAAATAACATTAAATATATAAAGTTAATCTGCTCATACATTCACAAGACAATGAAGGACGCAAGACGCAAAACACAGATCTCACTTTGCTTGGTAAAGGATTTTCTCATTTTTTTTTTATTTGTATTTATAATTATTATTGTTATCGTTATTATTATTATTATTATTATTGACACAAAAGCTTATGATTAGTTGGAGAAGAGATGGTTTTTTTTTTTCTTTTTTTAATTTAATATATATTTCATGTGAGTATAGGATTTCTTTTAGTTGTTAGGACTTCTTATAACACACTTATATAAGGTAATTTATATGGGTATGTGCCCAAGCGGGCTCGCGTTTGCGCACGCTAATGTGTGTATGTGTGTGTGTACGAGCAACTATAAATTTACTTGAAACGTTGAGCAAAAACACCGGATAATTCGTTGATGGCTGCTTGGCCGACTGCCTGATTAATTTGATTACGCATACTATCGGGTATATAACGATTGGCGCCGGTTTGTTGAGTGATGGCGCCACCGACCGCTCCAGTAACACGTCTTTCATGCAACAATTATTTATTTTTTTTTATTTTTTGGGACATGATAGAACAAACAAAACAAATGTTTACACAGAGAAGATACATAAAACAGAGTAAATCTCTTGTCATAACAATTATGAAAATATTTTAGAAATTTAAGCGTTTGAAACCCCTTTTTTATTTTGCATTTATTTATTTATTTTTTTTTTTTTACAAAAATTCAAATGAAAATAAAGGACATTGAAATCATATAACAATGATGTTAAAATGATAAAGAAGAAGGATGTAGAAAAAGTAAAAAAAAAATAAAGAGATACATAAATTGATGGTGATATATATTTTATCATAAAAAAAAATAAAAAAATGAAGCAAAAAACTAACTTTCTTTCTCCTTATGATCCTAAGTAATAATCGCTTGAAACTACTCAGACAGTGAAAAATTTGAAAAAACTCATTAATATGTGAACGAAGAAATCAAATTTTCTTCAACAAAAAAAAAATTCCAACTATACTATAAACGCCCTTTAAATTAATATCAAATAAATATCATTCTCTAATAATAATCTTTTAATCAGTCGTAGATTTACTATAACGCGAACGGTTGACGGCAAATGGTAGTAAGTATAATATTTACTTAATATTCTTTTCAGTTTTCAAAGCAAAAGAAGATTTTTTTTCTTTCTATATTTGGCATTCGCAATTTAAGTTAAAAATCAAGCAAGCAAATCGGGTATATATCGGATCTTTGAATCTTCTATATCTTTAAAAATTGTGGTAATATTTATTTGCATCAATTCTGATCGTTTAGGAACCAATTCCAAACTGAATTTTTATTGGGTTATATTTACAAAGGATCGATCACACGCCCAAGTATTGTTATACGGACGACCTTCGAAAGTACAATAAGTGCAAAATGTTATTTACTGCGCTACAGAATCCTCCGCTGATCAATTCTATAGTATATATATGGCATCTATGATGTATGTGCTACAGAACGAAAAACAACAAAATTGCTGCATTTTCACGTCGTTTATACATTCATTAATACATGATTTCCATATATCAAGATTTAAGTCCTAGATTTGATTTTCAATTATGAACATTTTTTTATTTTCTTTGAAGAAAAAAAAATTTAATTTGAATGATTTCGTTCGCGCATTCCACGAAGTGAAGCATTTATGTAAAATAAATAAATAATGTAAGGAAATGTAACATCATTCTGTATAAAATAAAATATTTTACTAAGGCAATGAAAGAAAACTTTACCTTGGTACTATCGAAATTTTTCCTTTTATCATTTCATCTTTACAGACTTTTATATGGCTGCGCTGTCTCCACCATTCTATATCAACATCACTAACTATCATTATCACTCTTACTTTCACTCACGCTCTCTTTGTCATTTATATTGTACATTTTACTTATTATACATTTACATGTATTTTTAGATGATTTTTTCTTTGTATTGGTATTCGATTTATTGTAATTTTTTTTTTTTTGGAGTCAATTTTAATAAAAACCTTTTCCAATGTCATCATAAAGTCCATTGAAGCCAAATGTTTCGCACAGCTAGATACCAAAAACTATTTGATATGATATAATAGATGAAGAAACAGAATTGACAACTAAAAGTATGCAACGAAAAGTTATGGATATAGAAAATATATTAAAAATAAATTTCGACTGGTAGTAAACTAGAAAAAGTAATTGTTTCCGAACTGCGTTTTTTGAGTATAAGTATATTTAACTCAAAAATAAGCAATAATTTGATAGAAAAATGAATAAATTATTAAGAACTCTTTCTCTAAGAAAATGAGAAATTAAACTTGAAATAATTGATCATGGCGAGTTGCCTAGACATACATCCACTCACAAGCAGCCAAGCAATCATATTAAAAATGTATGCAAATTTTTAAGAGAAAAAAATGTTTTGAAATAAATTTTGACAAAAATTTCAATTGAAATGAAAATTTTCTTGGAAATTAAACATTGGCTTTTGCTTGAATGCAAAGGTTAGTTAACAATAGATTGCCGGACGTTGAGTATATATCTATTTTGCGTGAAATGAGTTAATAAATTGACTCACACATCGAAATTGAAGATTTGAAATTTTTTTTTTTTTTTAAGAAACTTTACTCAAAACAGTTGTAACATATATGTTCCGATTTATTGCATTTAGCAGAGGCGACTTGACTTTTCACTTCTTTCGCATGATACTTGAACTTGACATTCAGTCGTTTTGATGCCAAATCGGATGCCAAATTTGTTCGGTTTATCCGGATGTATTTTTTTGATATGGACTAATCAATTGGGAGATATTCCCTGGTCGGGAAGAGAAAAGCATAGGAAAGCGCAGGCCGCAGTCGATATGTGTTATACGTTTACCAACTGAGCGCTCATTATAACTACGATCAAAGTAAGCTTTACTGCATTAAGATTTGAACCCGCAAACACAGAGTTGGTAATCTAGTTCGGCTACTCATGCACAACGGCATCTGGCTTTAGTTGAGAACACAATTGCCCATTGACTGTTACGTCTGCGCAAGGTTTAGAATTGGTATTAGTATACATTTCATATGTTTATTAAACGTCAATACATGGAAATAAATTACTTTTCCTGTATATAGCAAAAAATTCGTAACTCAGTCAAGTTGACTCGTTCCGGGAATATAATAAATTCTAGGACTAAAAAGTAAGATGAGCACTAGGCAAGAACCAACGCTATCAACCCCGAAATATAGAAAAGAAGAAGAAAAAAAAAGCAAATATTTTATTTTTTTATTAAAATTATAAAAAAACCTAAAAAATTATTTTTTTAATTAAAAAAAAAAAAAAAAAGAAGAAGAAATTTGAGATGTAAATATGTTCAGGACGACGTAAACGAATAAAATAGCTTTTGCAGACATCATCTCATGGCAATCATGTTAATGAGAAAAGGATTGATTGAAAAATTTCGGAAAAATAAGGATTGATTTCTTAACCCATTATTCCACTTGACAAAATGAGAGAAGAAAGACGTTCGTGAACACTTTCTGGCTTATATATATATATATATATATACATATGCCCTTTATCAGCATACGATTTTAAAAGAACATGGTAATAGACATGAATGCGGTCCATTCGCCTAAAGGCGCCTAAATTTAGTAAATCGCAAACTTTAAAGGAAAAATTTCTAAATATCTTTACTACCAATAATTTTACTTGTGGCTCTGATAAATATTTACCAGACTATGCTACTAAAGCTGACTTCGAGTAGCTAGCTGTATTGCCTAATGGGTGATTGAAAGGAGAGAACAAAGGTACCGATTTACACAGCACGCCCTCAGCTGGCGAGAAAAGAAAATTTTTGCTTTCAGAGAATGCAAACAGCAGCCGTGCTTTCAAAATACATGTGTTCTCGCCTCGCTCTCAATGGTCACGACCTATAAACTGCCAGAGCAACAACATGCGAAATTTTTAAAAGGAAATGTAAAAATCATGATCATCCCGTACCAAGCAAATTGTTTTGTTGCAAAATTTGACAAGAGGATTGTATTTGAAACGAAATCTTATTTCTATATAGTGCATTATTTATACAATTTTATATAGATTTTTATATACATTTAAACTAAATTTTCATTTTCATTTTGCGTTTTTATTAATTAAAAGAAAATCTCAATTTAAATTAAGGTACTTTTGTATTAGTATTTCTTCTCCTCTCTCAACAAAATCTCTAATCAAAAAGAGGTTTTTTGTCCGACGTAAGCATTTTCTCAAAACATTTTCATAAAAATAATTTGCCTCTAAACAGCAGCAGGTTCTTTTTCTTTCTTTCTTTCTTTCTTACTTTCTTTTTTTGTTTTTTGGTTTTTTTCTTTTTGTTTTTAAGTAAGCAATTTACTTTCTTTGCTATTAACAACTATTAAATAACATATTCTTGTTTTATTTTCTCTTTTTTTTTTTTTTTTTTTTTTTTTTTTTTTTTTTTTTTTTTTTTTTTGTTGTTGATCATTAAAAACTCAATTCTATTCTTTTTTTGTTTTTTTCCCCGTTCTTAAGCAACACTTTATGAATATTTGGTAAGTTGCATTATTTTATGTAGTATTATTTGCCTTTTTGTTTATGTATACATATTTTAAAAATGAACATTAATATCTATTACTATTAATTGTATTATTGTTGTTAGTTAGCGTTGTAATTGTTGCTGATATTTAGTTGTTCAAAAGTTAGACATAATTTAACGACGTCTGTTAGGTTTGCGAGAATTGAAGCAGCATGTTAGAAAAATTAATTATCGAAAAATCAAAAAAAAAAAAAACATTTTTTAAATGAAAAATTATAAATTAAAAGAAACAAACGAAAAAGAAAAACGAGGAGAAAAATACAGAAAAAAAGGGACAAAAAACAACAACATTATGCCAGTGAGTTTTAGTATTTATTACTCTAAGCAAACTAGTTAAGAAAGAAGGAACAAAAAGTGGAAAAAAATTTAATTTAATTTTTTAAAGGAATAAAGGACGGCTCGTATCACTTATTACATTTCGCTTGCATACAAATCTTATATGAAGGTACAAAATCGCTAAGAATTAGTGTTGAAATACTGAAGGGCCACTTTCCATCTAATATCGATATACGAACTCTGCATCTCCCTTCATACACATACATATGTTTTCAATAGGAAGTGCACGCACGTACAGAGTCCCCAACGGAAGTTTCAGTTTTTAATCTGAATAGAGATTTTCCAACTCAAGTTTGCTTTTTATTTTTGTTTTTGATAATTCGATAGCGTCATAAATCTTTATTAATATCTAGTTCTGCAGTAAATAAGTTATTAGGTGTACCAATAAATTCTTTCCGCTGAAATTCGTTGCTTCATAAAAGGTACCTTCACGGTATAGACAACTTGATGGACATTGATGTATGAACGCTGTAAGTTTCAGTTTCTTACAAGCTGTTGGCCAGTACACCTATCAAAGTTTAAGGAGGGAAAAGTTAAAGGATGCCATTTTTAGTGCATACATTTTTCCGCTTTTTATTTAGAGGTTAATAAACCTGGAAAAAATGCAGCTCAAGCTACAAAAATGACTAAGTCACTAAGCTATGAAATCGTTAGAACATTTCTGGCAAAAAAAGGTTTGTCTTGAAAACGATGAAATTCGCATTTGTTCGTTCGTCGCCAGCAAAAGCAACCAAGGAAGTAATTTTCAGCTTAAACTGCACCTCGTTGTTCTCTATTCTATTTGTGGCAATTCCCGATTGCCACTTGTTCAGATCAATGCCACCATATTCGCCGCTAAACTGGTAAATATCTACCGCGAGGGCGTCCTTCATAAGCTACCCGATAAATGTGAAAAGATGATGTATATTTCGATTATTAATTAAGTCTTGTGTATTTTACATCAAGCTGAATTTCATCAAAAAGCGGAAGGAATTTATCCGTACATCTATTAATAATCTGGAGGAAAGGCACCTGAAAACTGCGTACGACGGTGAATCGCCTTCTCCCACACTAAATTAAAGTGATGCTGTTCTTTCAAATAAATTGTTACAAGTAATTAAAGCATCGGTTTCTCTTGTTCTGCCTTCTCTTGTTTCAAGTGTAGCTGCCATACATCATTAGTACGCGCCTTAAACTCAAGAAGGTCTTGGTAAAGTAGATGTTCAAGTCGCTGTCTACGCTATAGAACCAAATGGTTTGATTTAGTGAACGGTCGGTCAACCGTTGTTGAGAATTGTGAGTGCTCTGCTACAAACAATCACTACATTATGTTTCGAACCCGGCTATCTCAAATCGAGTAAAACTATCAACATTATAAATGCAACATCAACCTTTCGCGGCCATTTTGCAAATTTAGTGTATGCTTAGCAATCCGTATACACACGATTGAAGAATGAGTCGCTTAACGCAAAAAAAAAAAAAAAATAACCCAAAGGGTTACATATGCCACGTAAGTAAGGGTAATATAGAAGAAAAATGTCAATTTAAAATTTTATAAATGTATGCACTAATGTGCGGCTTAGTAAAATGAAACTGGACAATATGTTTTACGTTTACCGTTTACCGGCGATTATCCATCTGATATAGATATTGTGGGGATAAAGTTTGAAGTAAATCTGACATCGTTTAAGAAGTCGAGAAGGTTCATAAGGTCTTCGCATTCGACTTGGCGAATGACAATCACTTCTCATATGCAGCATTTGGAAATGCGTACAACGATATTCTCTTCACGATTGTTTGAATTTTTCGCGAACTGAAAATTGTGTAAAAATTTTTAAATGTTTTATTGCTTTGCGACTTTGTTTAATTTTTTGTATCAAAACGCCTCTAAACACTTTTGACTATTTTAACCTATGTATTTTTTATTTATTGTTTATCAAATATCACAATTACAACTTTTTTATAAATCTATGTTCTTGCAGGGGAACAAGACTACTTGATAGAATGAATCTAAAAAGAATGTCACCTTTAGTCCTTTAAAAGTTTGAACATAAAAATGAATATTTTAAAATTAAAATTCAAAAGGAAGCGGAAGTAAATTATTTGCACCATTATTAAAATTGACACTGTGTTATGAGTGTAATAAAAAAGAGGTCCCAACCAACTTGAATTATTTATTATTTATTATAAATAAGATGGCAAAAGAACTTAAGGTGAAAATTATACTAAAAATATTAGATGATAACTAAAAATGGTACTTACGAAGGTAAGAGTGGGGGTGGAAGAGCACCGCCAGGTCGACCGCCAGGCAATGGTGGAGCTCCGCCGCCAGGGCGATTTGGAATCGCTGGCGCTGGCCGACCAGAAGCAGGTGGTGGTGGAGGACCACGCCCACCAGCAGAGCCCTGTAAAACCCAAAAATAGTTGAAAATAATTAGAAATATGAAAATATCTTGCCAGCGAACCTGTGCTGTAGGCGCTGGTTTACGGGGGCCACCTGGGCTAGGTGGCGAAAGACGTGGGTTATCTAAACCACTAGGTAACCAATCATTTTTTACCGGCGGCGGCAAAGGTGCTGACACGGTAGCCATGGAGACATCACCTTAAAACAAATACAAATATTATTATGTTCGCCATTTTTACTACTTAAAAAACGCACACATATTGCGTGAACGCAGTCGATTTTAAATATATGTGAAAATTGTACATATGCGCTCATTGCTGATCACTAACTAATGAACAAAAACCCAGAGAGCAGAAATAGTCTCAATTTGTGTCGGACTGTTTGTGGCGCGTCCTTTGACCGATCCGGCCCAACCAGCGTGCAAGAACTGCCAGTGCTTTTAGCTAATAGGAAGCCGATATCTTCATTTTAGCGACAACGAAAATCCCACCACAGAGTTTATACAGACGGACAGACGTACACACTTATGGGACCTCCGCTAAGCTTCTTTCCAGGTATTCCAAACGTTTTGACAAACTTAATAAACCCCCGTCGTGCTTGGATGTTGGATAAAAAAAAAAAATATGATAATGTATATAATTCAGATTCCCGCTTACGAAGCTCTGCGCAATATATGACAATTTTTAGACGAGTAAATAATGCACTTACCAATAATTCTTAAAGCATCGCGGCAAGCGCGATACATACGCAACATTTCTTCCCGTCTACTGGCTGCTTCTGCGGATTCTTCCATCATTTGTGCCTAAATTAAATTTTTTTATGTTCTGCATTTCTCATATAAAATGTGTATGAATCACTTACTTGATCTCCTGAAGCATATAAATGTGCCAGTAATTCACCATTAATAAAATCCTTGGTATTATTAATGATTAGCATCATTATGGCTTTAGGTACCATATCACGCGTAGTTTTTGTGACGATTTTCATATAGGAATCCACTAGATTACGTATAGTTTCAACTTGTCGTTCCAGCTGAGGGTCTGTGGAAGTTTCTTCGCTGGCCGACTGAACGGGAGCGGAGAATACAAAACAGTAATATTAATCTTCATCAGAGCGTTAAAAAATTCACAAAAATTATAAACCGAAAATAAATTAAATACTAGCAAAAAAATATTTGAAAATATATATATATATGCCGTCATTAGGGAAAAGAAATTGTTAGTTCATAGAATAATAATAAAATAAAATTTTAGTACAGTATTTAATTATCGCTTTTTTACATTGTCTATAACCATCACCTTCATTAAATAGTCAACAAGTTATCTCTATTGTGGCTTTGTGAGTGAAAGTTAGTGATCAGAAAATGATAATCGTTTTAGAGAGCCATTGTTTTTGATCTCTGCCATCAGCCATTTGCCGTCTGTCAAATTACAATGTTTTCTTATAAATTACGGACATATCTATTTATCATTCGGAAAGCTTTTGCCCACATTGTCATCCAAGTTTCGATAAGTACACATATATCTTCTTTGAGACATGCGTTCAATTTTTTTTTTTTTTTTTTATATTAATATATACAAAAACATGAATAGGCCGCCAATATATAATATTGCAGTCGTGATTACAGACGTGATTACGCCAAAATAAAAAGTAGCAAACAGACAGAGAGCGAGCGCCATGGCTACATTGAGTGGGAATATTATGCCAATCGAAGATATATTGCGTATATGAAATTCACTTCGCTGCTGAATAAAACTACGACTTTTTCATTCGAAAGCTCTGCCTTTTAAGCTGCACGCGAACGTATAAATTGTCATAGTGGATAGGTTTCTTGAAGCTGGCAATAGGTGTAAAAAAACAAGAACACATTTGCGAGAAAGTTTTATATTTCGTACTTAAATCCAAAGTGTAGTGCTTTAGTGCTAAATTCATATGAGTTACGATAGCTATTTAACCGTGACGCAGGATAGGCGGCAAACCGATAAAGTCGATAAACAACGTTGAGCCTCTACGACGGTCCCGGGGTGTGGTGTGTGCTTCTATCACAGAGAAAGAAGAAATCACTAAGCAGAGCTACCGGCAATAATTAGTGCAATTACAATAATAGGTGAACATGATGTGACCAAAGCCGTAAGTTTTCACTACCCAAAAAATTGAACTCCACATAGATAAACTCGGTCAGTAAAAATGTTTACAGTTCAGACATTAACGCGGACTTCACTAGATGACTTATCGGTTATTCGAACGGTGCTCTCCTATTCTTAGCACGATTTTGCGGATAGCCTTAAGAGACCAGTTATCCTTTTCGCGTATCGCGTTCCGCATTCATATTCAGTTGGAAAAGATGGCAGAAGTAGTGTCCATATAAAAAAATAAAAAAAATAAAAAAAATACACTTATTCCATATATGACATGATTGATTTTAACATCTGAACCTGGCACCGTAGTTTAAAATTTTCTTTAGATTAAGTAAATTTACAAATTCTTTTTTTCCTTTCTCTATAATTTTGTAACATTTTTGTATGATGGTGAAGTGTGATGGTTATACGCCATAATCGACATTTAATCGTATACATGCAGAATACTCTTTTTCGTTCAAGTATTCTATATGCACAGAGTAACTGTAACAGAAAATTAATAATAAAAATTTATTGAAATTTAGCAAAGGTGAATTTTTTTTTTTGTCATTTACACGTAAAATATACTTTTTGATAATTTTGAATTTTTTGTTAAAATACAATTATTTGATTAAAAGTTGAAAATAAAGCTTAAAACGAAAATAAGTAAAAATATTTTGAACTGAAAACCAATTATTTGTCATGTGCCATTTATTATTAGAGATTAGAGCCATTATTAGATATAAACTTAGCAAAATTAAAAAGTAAAATATAAATAAAATGAAATAATTAAATTGAATATAATGTTGAAAAAATTAATAAAATTTTTTATATTATTATTAAAACCACATACTTTTTTCTGTAACAATGTAAATTACATAGATTCGTTGGATAAAATATATATATAAACGTAAAATACACGAAAAGAAAAGAAAATAAATATTTATATATTATTAATAAATAAAGTTATAAACCAAACCAAAGGGATGGAGAATAAGACAGGTAGAGGGGCGGAAATGCCAGATAATATTTTAATAACGCAGTGAGTGCAAAAGTGTATCAATTGTTCTCTTTACTTAGGTAAACCAATTTTTGTAATTATGATGAAACTTAAGAAGAAACAAGGAAACCAAAAACCCACTTTTTTGTTTTGTTTTGTTTTTTTTTTTTTTTTCCCGGAAAATTTAAAAAATGTATTTATGATAGACGAGGCGTGTCAAAAGTGTTTGTTATGATGGCAGCGGGGGTCATTAAGAATATGTTGCATCTTTTTGGAGAAATGAATTTTAAAAATATTAAACCAACCTCTCTTCCTTCCTGCTTATGATGGTATATTTTGTATGATTAACAGACAACAACAACAGTAAAAGCACAAAAAATTAATAAACAAATATATAATAAGGAAAATATTAAATTTATTATAACACATTATTATTGTATATGTATATATATATATATATATATATATATATATATATATATATATTTATAGTAATGAACAATATATAATAAGGAAAATATTAAATAATATTACTTGATATAATGTATAAAAGGAGTTTCTAACATGATTGCCAAGGGATTAGAAAGAATATGGATAAACTTTATAAATAATAACTGTAAAGTGAACAAATTTTCTGAACTTTACTACTAATTAAAGACTACTTCTAGGCAGATTTACATACTACTTTAAACGAGATGCAGTTAATAAGCGTTTACGTCCGTCTTAGTACACAAATTTTCTAATCCCCATTCCTCCCCTCCTTGCACGCTGTTAACTAACTTGTTCAATTTTGGGAAAATTCCATAAATTTTTTCGAATTCGAGTTTAAATATCAAGACTCGACTTTTTTTTTTTTTGTTTTAAATTTCTTTTTTCCAAATTTTTAGCATTGCACTAATAAACTGACCCGATTGCGTAGAATACTTTAAATAATTTGAAATTTCAAAACTATGAACCCATACTTAACATCAGAAATCATAATCAGAATTTTCGAATATCTTCAATTTGTTTTTCATTATTGCTACCAATTTTGCACGTACACCCAACTGTTTTTTTTTTTGTGCGAGGTTTTTCACCCAACATTGAAATTGCATGGCTCGCCCCCTAATAAGAACATATACACTTTTTTACACAAATTTGCCTGCCCTAGCACGAATCGCCAAAAACACTCTGCTAGCGACTTGGTCTACTACGTAGAATATCCATATTTTGTCATCACTTTTTGCTTTATCTCGTTGTACTTCAGATCCAACAACACTGCAATTCGTTATCCAGTACTCAGAGCGTTGAGTTCAATAAAATTGTAAAAGTTGATGTTCGAGTGTTCATGGTGCAGTGCGTAATAAACGTGCCCGCTTGTAGTGAAAAGTTACGGATTTGCTTTTTATTCCTAATTTTAATTAACATTTTTATGTGTTGTACTCTTATGGACTGAATTTTCGTGGTACAACAATTTTAAGTTTTTTTTTTTATAATAAAAATTAATTGTTTTTGTTTTATAAGTACGTAATATGGATGTCAATATTGCTTTTTTTGCACGGTTTTTTCATCCTGTAGAATTTTTCTAAAGTTGTGGAACATATCCCCAAATTTACCATATTTCGCGTCTATTTTTTCACACGATTTTTTTTCACGGTCTCCTAAGGAACCTATCTACCGTGTAAGAAAAATAGTTGGGCATATTTAATATTAAATTTCCCTTTTTATTTATCATGATATTACATTAAAGTCCCGTTTTCAAATAATAAGGCAGACACAAACGGACTTGCTTGCATTAATTCGGAACGTCCTTTCGATCGAATGTCCTGTCATATCATAATTAATAAGTTTTTTCTTTTTATTTGCAATCAAGATGTTGTTATTCACTCGCAATAAAAAAAAGGATGCAAGTCTATTACGAGGCTTTCTATGTTATGTTTACTTAATACGAAAATGAGGCAAATCAATTTTTGGAAAACTCAAACATTTTTAAAGAAATCTTTGAAATTCTTCAATGAAATTTTTTTGAAAAAAAAAAAAGAAGCAAAACGAAAATTTTTTTATTTTTTTTATATATTAACTTGAAACTATTGAAAAATAAATCATAATCAAAATTAGAATTTCGAGAAAGGCATTACATTCATAAAAGCTTTAAAACCATATACATGATGAAGGCTGAAGGCTACGCGGCGTAGCCAGTTAAATTTTATTTACGGTATCAATAAAATGTTACAGAGATAAAAACATATATGGATTCATTAAATGGATATTTAAAGGAAAAGAAAATCAATGAAGCATTGTTTTGCATCATATATAATCGAACCTAAATTGTTTGTAGTAAAAATTTTATATAATTTATTATAATATGTGTAGAGAGAGAGAGAGAGAGAGCATTTAAAAGAAAGAACGGCAAATGGAAATAAGCAACACCTACCTCATCACCATTTTCTTGAGTCTCCTGCTTCTCTGGATACACGCCAGCACGCAAAAAGGAAGCTTTCCAGGATTCCACTTCCTCAACAGTTTCGCATGACAGTTCAAGTTGTTTGTAATCCTAAAAACGTTAGGAAACTACTATATTAGCAAAGTAAATTTAAGATCATCGAATACTATAACAGAAATAATGGTTAAGGCAGAAAAAATAATAATAATTAAAAAAAAATTGTATTTGACTTTCAATGAATTTCTGTATGCCACCTACTAATGATTTTATCTTCTTTTTGTAATACATTTTGAAACTAAAGTGAAGAGCTTTTATCAAAAATATATGGTAATATTACTGTAAGCGCATGCCGTGTTAGACATTTCATCGCTCCCAACTGCAATATGATATTTGCAATATATTGTGAATGTCATGCCATGTGCCAATCATTGCTTAAACATACAAAAGCGGACCGTATGAGACCGCGTGAGAAGAAGCATTTTTAATATATCTAAGACAAAACTGAATCGTACGTGAACCTTCCAAACTAAAGGGAAGTAAAGGAAGACTTCAAAACGTAATTTTGGTGTTCTCAGACAAAATTCCAAAGTGAATTTTAGAAAGACGGGTAACTATCGTAACCTTGCATCGATTCTGATTATCATTGTTAAGAGAATATTTTTCTAACAGTTAATGCTTCGAAAGTTTTGTGATAAAATATATCCGAGATCGAATTGCTTACTGTTTCTTGTTTACTAGCTTAGGGTAATTAATGCAACATCTAATATTTTAATGAACGTTTTTATGCCCTACGTCACTTGTGGTACCGGATAGGTTTAAGATAGACCCACCTTTTATTATACCGATCGATTTATCTGTCCGTCTGCCTATCTGATGTCTGTGAGCACTTTGATGAACTTGCGTGCACGACGAGTTTTGACCCAAGTATGAATGGTATTGGAAATGGTTCATATCGGATCAATTTCTTGAATTTTATTATATGAACAACAGTATCAAGCGAAGTGATGCAGATGTAAACATTGTCCAAGGGTTGGCCTTGACTTACTTTAATATCTTTTTATCTGTTTTTCTTTCACTTACTTTCTCTTTGCATTTTTTGCATTTATTGTTTCACGAATTTCAAATCTTGCAACTGATCGCGTGAAAAATTTTCGCTTACCTTATAAACATTTCGTCCATCGGGACTGAACAAAGCGAATGTTACACGCCGTGACATAAACCCTTGCTCAATATCCCGCAATTTCAAGCCATCCAAAGGTAGCATGTATTTCTTTTCCTTTTCATCTTCATCTTTATACCAAGAAATGCTTTCGGAGGTTAAAACAAACCAATAAGGTCGAGAACCGCCTATATACAAATATAAAAAAGTAATTGCAGGGAAGAAGAAAAATTAAAGGAGAAAGTATGAAGAAAGAGAAGACAACAAAAACAAAGTAAGTAATTTCGAAATGGCTGCGAAGAAATAATTCTTAAGAATTAATGGTTGCTTTACTAAATAATGATGAGCTAAGAACTAAAAAAAAAAAAAAAAAAAAAAATCACTACCAAAGCAGGGCAGTATCTAAAATAAATGAAGCATTACGAATAAATGAAGAAAAATGCTGCAAAAATTTTGTAGAAAAGTTAAACTAATTGTAACGACAATACGCTACATACATAGAAGAAGAAATTCAAGCCTAAAATATATGAAAATTATTTTGAAATTGACTATTTTTTTTCTGACTTTTTGCATTTGTCCATTAAATAAGACATTAATTAGAATTTCAGATTATCGCAACATTTTTCTTTTCCCGAAAAACAAAATCAAACTTAATAATAATGAAGAGTTTTGAAAAATTGAAAAACAACTCTCAAACGCATGCGTATGTGTTTACTAAAGAAAACGTTCAAAAAATATGTATATGGTGTGCGGGTTAATAACGACTTCACTTCATTAAGTGCACTCTAATTAAGATTCATTCTCTAAACAAGATGTATAGCGTAAAGAAATATGGAGTTTTTAGACTTTCGCCTCTCTTTCTCCTTTGAATAATCGAAGAACGTAATGTTTCGAATCATAGATTTGTATAGACATTGGATCGGGTGTACAAGACTGAAACGGGATTTTGTTAAATTCAGAAGAATCCTTAAAAGTGGCTCATTCGAACAATCCTCCATCACTAAGTTACACATTATTACCATTTTTCGGACAATTTATCGATAGATTTAGTTCTGTTTACATCTTCGTCGCCGCTCATCAAGTGTTTGACTCATGAGTGCGAACAAGAGGTAATTACTAGTTGAATGCTTTCAATCTGTCGTGGCCTTCTTGTGTGTGATGAACCATCGTCCCAGGAACCTTCTTAATGTGCTAGTCGTTTCTTGAATAGATGACGGTATAAGCCGATCAGTTCTCGGCAACTAATTCAACAAACTTTAGGAGCTCATAATAAACCACAGCCTTCTGGTCTAACCAAATGTTGAGCGCAACATCTTCTTAAGTTTAATTTAATATTAGTAGAAGTGTAGAAGGGAGAGCTCAAGATTCATTCCCAGTATTATCATTTATGTCTTTCGACCAAAATTTCATCCATTCCATCTATCTGCCTTTGGTTCACGTGGCTTATGCTGTACCTATTTGGCGACCCTCAGGATCGCTTGTAAACTACTTTTCGATTAACGCTTAATTGCTTTGTAAGTCGTTTTTGCGTCCACGCAACACATTCATTTAACGAAGCTAGCGGTTCTCCGTCGTCTTGGTACCTGTTCGAGAATTTTACGTGTGGCTTACCTGCCACATCGAAATCAATCAATTTTGAAATGCCTATATCACCGCTCACAAGTATCTTGCGATGAATCATGTTCATAATAACCTTCTCGAAGTAATCGGTATATAGGTTCAGCAACAGTTTTAGTGAAATGAAAACAAAAATCTAGTGTTGTCCGCGCGTACTCGTTACGATGCACTTTTTCAACGTATCACTTATGCGCGTGTGACGCTTGTTGACGGATATATGTTTCTCAAATCCGTGTTTAAGTCTTGTACACCAGATAAGTATCATCGCATTCGAGTTTTTAAGAAAGAAAAAATCCCTACGAAGTTTGAAAATCGAGTTCCTTCCCAACAAGAAAAGGAAATAGAACAGATTACACTACTCTAAACTATTAACTAAAATGCAACGAATGCAGTCATTAGTTACGTCAAGCTTGAATCATAATTTGATGGAACCATTCTTTCGATTCCGTTTTCGATTTTCCCTTTATTTCTTCATGTTGACGTTTACGACCAAAAAGAATAAGGCAGATCTTCAACCATTTAATGGCCGTCCTTAATTGGTTTGCATCTATTCTACTGTTTCGAATCTGAAAACCCGATGAAAACATTTCACAATCAAGAATTGCTTTGTGTAATCGTTTTATCTACAGTGCACGTAGAAAAACAAAGTTCGCTTGTTTGGCATATACGATTTTGATAAGATAATCGCTTAACTATCTAGAAACACTGCACTGCTACAACGATTAAAACCGATTTTTTTTTTTTTCTTTTTTTCTGTTTAATATAAAATTCTCAGTATTTTTCCGGACAGAAATTATGAACGATAGAGAGAAGCCGTACCGAGGACTTTCACATGGAAATTCTCATTACTCTTAGAATATATGAAATATATATATATTTCTTAATATAATATCGGAACTAAAGTTCTATATTGAAAATTGCCAAAGCAATAGTAGATAAATAAGAGGAGAATAAGAGTTTCAAAACCAGAAAATCATTGGTTGCTTGGTCAACGTTCTGCACTTCATTAAATCTCAACTTAATCAAATATTTTAAGCTTTTGCATCTTTGAATTGATCGCTGCGAATAACAAATAAACAATTTGATTGCACTATAACGATGGTAGTGATCCAGCGGCAGATACAACAAAAGAAAGTTTCCTTGCGGTAAAAGCTCTTAGGAGAATAAAAAACCAATTAGTTATTTGTTATGTATTTCGAGCCTCTATCGCGCAACTTTCTTTCTCCTTAAGAAAAAGAGGAGCAACTAAAAAAAGCGAAAGCTTTCGGATATTGTGTCTCGAACTGAAAGCTAGTTCAACTGGGAAGTAGTGCAATTGCTACCTAAAGCACGCACGCAACTTAAATTACTAGTTTAAATATAGCGACTGTCATGTTTCTGTTCTTCTTCTTCTGTTTTATTTTTATTTTCATTTTTTAAAGTTCTTCATTATTAACCAGCATAAGATATGTAGTATTAATTGAAAAAATCAAGCGAAATTTAAAAAACGAAAAGTGAACATATAATGCACATACACAAATGTAAATCATAACCACACAAAATAATGTTAATCGAAACAGTAGATGCTTGTAACTTATAAACAAAAATAAAAGGGAGGCGCTTGAATATACGAACCAAGAGTGCGTATAAAATGCACAAAAGCTACAAAAATGAATGAAAAGAAAAACGGAAAAAATACATATATGAAACCAACCAAAATAAGACGAGAATTCTGAAAAAAATAAAGAAAAATAAAAAAAAGAAAATTTGGAAAAATTTTTAACGGCATGCTCAACATAAAAGGAGACAAGTAAAATAATTTAAAAACTTGAGAGTTAATTAATTTAATATCATTCTTAAGGATAATTGAAAAAAAAAACAAAGGTGATCCTAACAATTTTCTAGCACTATAAATTAAATGTTATGTTAGTTCGTTAGTATTTGATTAAATTGACATGGGTGGGATATTGTACGAGTGTCTATATTGATATGGATGTATACTTGAATACTTGAATACTTGATTACCTTTCATAATGCCTAAATTTTGTATAACCATGTGACCTTTGCGAATCACTTGATTGCCCAATTGACGAGCGCCAGTTTTGTTGGCATTCTCGGATTTGTTTTGAGCACTAAAAGTTCACAGGAAAGCAAAATTCAGCAATTAAATAAATAAAAAATATTTCAAAATAATGCAACTTACTTGGCAAAGCCTATAAAATCTTCATGGTTGGTATTCATGTATGCTAGCTCGAAATCGATTAACAAAAGAATTTGTTCTTTGCACCTTTGTTCCCTTTCCCGTATATGAGTTGTAATTATCCGTTCGGTTTCCTCACGTAAACGTGGATAACGGGCCATCTAAGAGCAAAACGTTAACGTTATATTTGAAATCTTTCTTTACACATTGACCCCTCTCCTATTCAAGTAAATACCTTATCTGTACAGCTGCGTACCACAGCTGATAGTTCTTGTACCACCAGATCGACACATTTAATGACCGGTTCTTTTAATTGTGCAATTTGACGTTTAACAATGGCCTCAAACGCCATATCGGGGGTAAACAAACCCACACGTATACCATGAATATTTCGTATGGCAAATGAGATTTCTCGACGTAATTCTTTTTCGTCACAGGCCATTTTAACAATTTCAAAACGTAAACTAAAAAAAAAAACATTAACACAAAAAAAATAAAAAATACCCTCAACTACTATTTTTTCTGCATTTTTTCGTTCTTTTAATGGCTTTTAAAAATCATAAGCATACCGTTCATGGAATATACGATTGATTTTAGCACCACCCGATAATTCGTTAGTATTAACCAATGCTGAACCGGAACCCTCAATAGTACGCTCAAAATCACTTTGTAATTGTTGTATCATTCTAGTGAACAAAAGTAACGAAATAGAAAAAAAAATTTGAAGCTTTTCTCTTTTCTTTTTTTTCTTTTCTTTTCTTTTCTTTTTTTTTTTATTTATTTATTTATTTATTTTTTATTTATTTATTTTTTTTTTTTGCTGCTGGAAACTCCTCTGTTCTCATGCATCATCTTCCTTTTATTACTTACTGTAACATGGCTTTTGTTTTAATGCTAGTATCCCCTGGTTGGAAATGCTTATATTCTTCGACCTCCTTTTCTAAAGTCAACATTTGTTTTTGCAGTTTGTCCCGCAAGCCGGGCAATGTATCTCGTATATGATTGGTAAGTTGTTGATTTAACACTCTCTGCAAATAAGGTGTACCCAAACGATCTGCTATATGCCTATACGAAGGATGGCTTAAGAAGAATTTCCTTTCCGCCGCCAAAGCCTGATGGATATCTTTCCGACCCTCTATATCTTTTTGGGAGCGATTTACCACACCGATATAACCTCGCCGCAAAGGTAGCAATTTATTTTCCAATATGTCTCGCGCATCAGTGCCCTCATCCATCAAATCCAATTTTGTAATAACGCCAATAGTGCGGACACCCTGCGGATCTACTTCCTTGGCCAGCTTTAAAGCATCCGAATTAGCCAAATCTGTATTAGCCGGTGTAACGGCCAATATCAAACATGTCTCCTTGCGAATAAATTGAAAAATCATATTTTTAATTTGCTGTTCAATATCGACCGGTTGATCGCCAATCGCCACTTTCGTTAGTCCGGGTAAATCAATCAACGTCAGATTTAGGACATGCGGTGAATATACCCGCAAATTAATTGGAATGTTGGAAATTCCCTTATTACTACCCGTAACACGGTCCGTTTCGTCTTCGATTTCCTTGCGTATCTCATCGAAATTGGTAAATTTCTTACCCTTACAATGCAAAAATTCTCCATATTCTAATTAAAACAAAATAAATAAACAAATGAATAAGAAAATTATAAACGAAAATAAACAACACTCACCGGTGATGCCATGTATTAACTGCAAAATTAAGGGACGTCTGGTGACAATACCTGAGCCACGTGGCAAAAAATCTCTAAAATAAAATTTAAAAGGTAAAAACATCAATAGCATTAGGTAACGTTATATAATGTATTCTGCAATCGGTGAAGCTTTTTATTTTAAATACCTAATCAATTCATTCATTTTCAGAAAAAACTATTCCTATACCTGGGACGATTACTCATAAAAAACGGACGATCTTTAACGAAATCATTAGTGCTACCCACAACTCGTTTAATGTGTTCAGCAAGAGTTATTTGCAAAAACCATTTTAACTTTGTGTCGTTCTAATGCAATTCGACGATTTTAATGACTGAACGGAATATTCTTAATCAATCTTTGGATCCATTTTGAAAAGCTTAAGTATATTTTAAACGTTGTTTTGATAATGACTCTAAACAACTACAACGAACTAGCAACGGAACGACCAAAACCCAGTTGGCTAAGATCAGAGCATTCAAGGTAACCGCAATAGCCACGAATCAAATTGAGACGCATCTACGATCTACAAAAGATATTGTTTTTATTATTAATTACCGTCAAACCAAAAAAAAAACTGGAAATAAGTTGTTTAGCAGCAGGGAAAGAAAAAAATTTCCATTTTATTAATTGTAATCTGTAATCCCGACCTGGTCCCCTCCTCTTCTGGCTGTCAAACCTACTTGAAATATTTTGTAAACTCCAAGCTCTTCTCTACTTATATATAAGCGGAAGCTGTACTAGACAAATAGATAAATATTTTGGAAAGCTTTAGAACACGCTAAAAAAAATATTGAACTTAAAGCGGAATCTAGTAAGAGAGTCTATAATTCGCTTTCGCACTTCCACTTGGCCAGCTTTCTAATTAGATCCATCAATATTTTGCAAGACGGTACACACCGTATATGCAAGCTTTTTTCAAATTTTTTGTATTCGAATACTAAGGCACATGACTATATCGTTTACTATCGATCATTTATTAAATAGGTACCATAAATTTGAAGTATTCCATAGGCGCAGCAAGAGTATTCCATAGGTCAACAATTAAAATTTTTTGATTTTCTTTAAAGGCATGTGGAGGTCTTATATCACTGCATCCATGATGAAGTCTCTTTATATAAAGTTTTTTCTTAATATAAAAACAGCATCTACCTGAAAAATCGAACAGATCTTATGACCATATATTGTGGAATTTGTTTAAAACTATCCCCATTCTCCCTGACAGGTTTATAGGTTTCGTACTAGAAAATTAAAATAAATATAACCTAAGAGCAACAAATAATGATGATGATTCCATATTCTCATCAAGTACAATATTCGGTTACCCACTCTGCCCAATGTACACATAAACACATTTTACACAATCTCTAATGCATTAAAAATATTTGACAAATTTAGTATCGCACTGGGTGGTGGGCAAGGCAAAAAAAAAAAAAAAAAACAACAAGTTCGTCGTAAAGCATCACAATTTATCCTAAGGTGAATAATGTATACAACATTTTGCTATCAACGTTTACTTGCATATCTATCGGTGATGACATCAACTGAACAGAAACTTTCCTATCGTTCCCCAAACACATCGCCCGTCTTGTCCTTAAGAGTGCAAATGTCTAACTTTTAATTTATTTAATATATTATTCAGTTTTTTTTCCCTTCCTCTTTAATGTCACGAACTTCTGACATTTTCTACAACGGACATCATTTCGATTAAATTTACAATAGCTTGCAAGTGCGATAAAGAGAGAAATCAACAACACTTTCTTATTTTTATTCGAGTTCTTTATGTGTTCATGTCTTCTTAAAATAGATAAAATTTTAAAGCGAATCGCCAAAGAAAGGAGTATAAAGCGAAACGTATGTTTGCATAGTAAAGAATTTGTGTGTATTTTTACACACACGCGTTGATGCATAGAATCGTACAAAGGCTTGTAGTTCGTATGTGATGTCATTGGCGATGGTAAAGATACCTTTAAGAAAAGGACATTTACATTTTCACTGTACACTTCCTCTCGCCGGCTAATTCGACGAGATTTGGATAACCGTGTTTAAGCTCTGCTATGACGTGTTATCCATAGTTACTTGACTCACTGACTGACTGGGGGTGGGCCGCATGGGGCTCTATAAGTCTTGCCAGAGACTTCTCCCCTATCTGGTATAGCATTGTGGTGGAAATCCGTTTCCACGTTTCCTTGCACTGCTATGGTGGTTTGAACTCGGTTTGAGCTTTGCTCACTTATCTCCATAGGGTATCGTTTCCCTCATTAAACGAAAGAGGTTGGGATAGGCTTCCTCCGCCCAGTGAGAATGCAATGCCCATGCGCATTGTATTGACTGGTCCCTCTATCGCTGCAGTTTCATCTGCAGATACTATCCCGTACCGAGTTTCAGGTCGTATGGGACCTGATGCTAAGTCTGACCGGAGGCTTTCATACTCTTCTTTCATAACTTATATTTCTCTTTATATCCGGTACCACGGGTGACAGGAGCCCCTGAAGCAACCTGAAGCGGGAACGGCCCATTGCGGGAGTTTCGTGGTGGCTGTGGTTGGCCCAAATCGCGGGAAGAGCCTCCGCTCGGTGTGGAGTTGCATAGCAACCGGGTGTCTGATCCAAAGAAAGACAGAGGTTTTAGGTAGGCCTCGCCCTCCCCAGAGGGGGAGATACGCCCATATACGTATCCTCACTGGAACTCGAGAATTTTCTCGGGGCGCTGAGTGTGCGTTTTCACATTCCGTGTGCCATCGGTCACCGTGGGGTTAAGCCTTCACGGCAGGTATCCATGTTAAGCACCTAGAGAGACATCTGTACACTTGCTCTGTTCTGTGCCTAAAAACTTAAAATATTCCCCTACATGATGTGGACAATAGCTAAGACGCGCAATCTAACGAGTATTTACGCACGAATCTGTCGCTTCGTAAATTAATTAAATCTTAAATGCAAACTCTCTGACCAATTCGCCTAAATATTTCAATATGACACATCTATTATCTGAGTACATGCATACTTGTCAATTGACGGCAATCGAAACGAATTAAAAAAAGGCGAGGAGAGTATATTCCTAACGCTTTCCAACGCAAAGAAGGAGATGAAGATGACGGGAAAAAAGTGATATCTGCAAATAAAAAAATATTAAAAATTCTATAGACGGGCAAGGCCGCCCCTATGCCAGTACGCTCAATTAATAATACATTAAAAATTTTATATTATCTTCATGTATATGCATAATTTTCACCAAAACTCCTCATAGTGAAGGATACTCAAACGTCAACGTGGTGATCTGTATTTAGAAAACTTAATTTACTTATCAAAGATCTTATTACTTTCCAATTGCCTCCGTCGTAACAAGTCATAAATTAGGCTTAGTCGTCATAGTTGGTTTGCTTTGATTAGAACTAAATATGGTGCAATCAAAAATATACACATATGTGGCACAAATATCCTATGATTGCCATCATAAAATAGTAAAAACTTAACACCTTTTGACATGTGAAGCTATATTTTTCATTACAACTCTTATATGCGTTAATATGCGTTAAAAAAACAAAAAATAGACTTGCCTAGTCCATATTCGCCAAATTCGGTTAATTTTTATGTCAAATAATTGTTATTTAATCAAGATTTCATCAAGAAGTATTGAAATTTCGGCCTTTTCGCCATACAAAGATTCAGTTTCCTTACGGAACGGTTATATGGCAAGGAGTTAAAACAAATCTCCTCATCCCACCTAAAGTTTGTACGCCAATTCAGAATGACAAAATACTATTATGTTGTGAGATCTGTCGGGAAATTTTAAAAATTACAACATTTTTTCTTATAAGGTCTTACATGAAGCGTGGTCGAAAAAAATGGGTCTATCCGGGCCATTTCGCACAGCGTTCGTCTTTGGCACAAGAAACGTCACTGCATCAACTTTCATCAAAATATTTCGAAAATTGTGATATGTAAGTTGTTTGCCGAAATATAGGGACAGACGGACAGACGGACAGACAAGCGTATCATTGTAATAAACGACGGATTTGTTTCAAGTCCTCCTAGGTGCTGCAACCATTCGCGTCAACCTAATATAGCCAATAGTATCACAAGTCGTGTAGGTTATAAAAACAATTTCTATTTAAAGCCTGACTTTTCAGTTGCCTGCAGTATATTACAAATTTTTTTAAAAGTGATATATTATATATGTATGTATGTATATATATGGAGAAACTGTTTGTTATAATGAATGTCGGTGACTCGTTTCACAATTGTTGCACTGCCGTCGTCACCGAATATTGTAAAAGAACGTTTTACTTCCTTTCAAGCATAAATATCTACAATCTATCTAGTTTATATTTTGTTTATGTTTTCATGCTCTTTAGCCTTTAATTTCTTGTACATTTATCATTAAAACCATTCATTCAATTCATTCATCCATTCATACGTTATTTTACCTCATTTTCATTACTATGAAAGATAAGTGCATGTTGCATAACTCAAGGTAATGGAAAAGTGCTAACTAATGAAATAATATTGATGTGCACATAATAATAATAATAATAATAATAGCTTAACCATAGAAATATGTACAATATATAAACATACGCAAACACATACACGCACACATATACAATATAAAGCGAACAAAACAAAAGCCAAGCTAAGAGTCATTAACAAAACATAAAAGAAAATGCAAAAGACCTAGAGTGTACATCGTCGTCATCGTCATCGTCATCGTATAACACACATACTCTTACACGGCAGTCATTCAAACAAAAAAAAATAAATAAATAAATAAATAAATAAAATAAAACAAAAATGTGAATCTATTTGTATTGGTATGTGTGGCTGTTGTTTATATTTTGAATGTAATGCGATTTAAGGAAAGACTTAAAAAAAATAAAACATGTGCGATAGCAATAATATAAGTCAATCTCAGATAAATTAATTATCGATAATCATTATCATCGAATAATAAAATACGTTCCGTTGATGCGTAGGCCAATCAAACGACAACAACAAACATGCGTATATATTATTTATGTGTATATATGTATATGTTCCAAGAACTCGTATAAGCTCA